TAAAAACAAACATTTTTACTTGGGATTTCTTCATTTGAGTCATTAATAGCAAAACCTTCTCTGAGCGCACATCCAAACAACACCCAAAATGCGTGTCCTCCCGCGTTTTTCCCTGGAGTGTCCAAACAGCGCCTCAGTTAAAAACAAATTCCTTCAGGACAAAGCAGGAAAACCCTGCATTGTTTTGAAGTAATTTGACAGCTGGAAAGACCCAGGTCTTTCCAGCTGCTGGTGTTGTGTGCAGGCCCATAGCCAGGATTTCGTTTTGGGGGGGGGGGCTGAATTTTTTTCGGGGGGGGGGGGGGCTGAGTTTGGGGGGGCTCAGTCTGAGAGAAAGAGGGTCTAGCCTAGCAAACCTGTTGTATCATTACCCCAATACCCCCATGCATATGGGATATATTGATATGGTGATCAGATCATGATATGAATAAACATAACAGTTTAAATAATCACCAGTAAGGCCTTTTCGCGACCACCATGAGAATTTCGAGGGAGGGGGCTGAAGCCCCCGCCCCCCCCCCCCCCCCGGCTACATGCCTGGCTGTGTGGATTGAGCCTGGGGATCACGTTGCACAATTTCCAGTCCCCATCCATACAGGTGTCTTGGGTTTCTTGCGCTCCCTTCCGAAACCCCTTATGAAAGCCTTTAAAAAAGAAAATAACTTACCCAGACGCCATTCTCCCCTTCTCCGATGCTCTCCTGATGTGTAGAAAGGACTTACCAAGAGAAGGGGGGAGGAAAATTGCTCCTGGCCCTGCTTCTCCTGGTGCATCATTTCTACGCACCAGGAGAGCTCCAGATAATGGTGGTTGGGAAAGTTATTTTTTTAAAGGTTTTTCTGGGGAGGGGGGTGTGTGTTTGTTTTATGTCTGAGTGCCCTGCAAGAAAGTCCCCACACTGGAAAGTACAAATGTTGGAGGGAGGTGTGTGAACCAGCTCAGACCCAATCAAGTTTAAGAAACCCGATTGGGCCTGGGTTAAAGCCCTGTATTGAACTGCCCTGAGTATTCTATTCATAAGGAAACCCTAATGAAATTGATGAGGTCACAAGAAGTTAGCAGGCAACTCTGAAGGCACAATAAAATGATCCAAATGCCCTTTGATTGATAATTCATTTCATGCCATTGCTTTTTATAAAAAAAACATACAAGAGGTATTTTAATCTGAACAAAGTTATAGTTACTATCACAACAGATGAACTTGACACATTCCACCCATGCAGAAAACAAAAATAATTATTTGTTTCAGTCCACTGTTCTTGTTCATATGTGCATGCTGTTTCTTTGTCATATAGGTTGGAAAGGGGCTTAAAATACAGCATGATTTCAAGAAACCATGGATAATAGCAAATTCTATTAACAGTAATTACTTCAACAATAAGCTACCATAGAATTACCCCGGAGGAACGAGAAAATTCCTAGAGAGGATATATTTTGTCAGATACTGGTAGGTGGGACAGTAGGTGCCAGAACCATAGGCACAAATCGTACTGTATAAAACGTATTTAAAACCCTTTAATACTTTAAATGGATGTATTTTCCAATATGGTAACATTTTAAAAGTTAATAAAATTGATATCAAGAAAGTATCATAAAGCAACATATCAAGATATTAGATCAGTTGACCTATAATGTATTAATTTAGAAAAATAGGAGATATTAAATATTTTTAAACAAATATTAATCCTATTAGTAAGATTGGGAAAGGAAATCTTTTTCCATGTCTCATACCACTTTTCAAATTGTTGCTATTTTAGGCATCTTTTTTCCAAATCAAATACTTCCGAACTATACTTTCCATTCAAAATGAATGTGGAAGTTTCAATGGATCCCTGCTACTTCCTACCAACAGGAGTTATAGACAGAATAACATGATGAACATGAAGGAAAAGTCCAACTGCAAGCCCACAACTGAATCACTTATAATTTATTAACAGCAGGAGTCGGGCAATTCAGAGACACTCATTTGGAAGCAGTTCTGGTGTATATGGACTTGTTTGACTTTGAGCAATGAGGGAAATTCACTTTATATAACCAATTAAGAAGTCACAGTTGGAACAATACAATGAATCACCCTTCTCATTCTTGAAGAAAAGCAGTATTTTCAAAATTGTTCGGTACAAGATGAACTTGGAAGTGTCAATAGTTTAGATAAGAGATTCTTAGGTCTCTTGCAAAAAGGAATTGATGCAAATGGAAGAAAACCACTTAGCTATATTGTGCTTCCTTTGGTGTGGTTGTTAGTTCTAACCGTGATAGCAGAACTAATCAACAGTTGATGCACACAAGTAAAACGCCAACACAAAATCATGTTCTTGGCCTGTTTTTTAAATGTAAAGCTTATTTGGTCTGTGTCAGCATTTCCCAACCTGGGGGTCGGGACTCCTGGGGGGGGGGTACAAGAGGGTGTCAGAGGGGTCACCAAAGACCACCAGAAAACACAGTATTTTCTGTTGGTCATGGGGGTTCTGTGTGGGACCTTTGGCCCAATTCTATCGTTGGTGGGTTTCAGAATGCTCTTTGATAGTAGGTGAACTATAAATCCCAGCAACTACATCTCCCAAACTTCAATGTCTATTTTCCCCAAACTCCGCCAATATTCACAATTGGGCCTATCGAGTATTTGTGTCAAGTTTGGTCCACATCCATCATTGTTTGAGTCCACAGTGCTCTCTGGATGTAGGTGAACTACAACTCCAAAACACAAGGTCAATGCCCATCAAACCCTTTCAGTATTTTCTGTTGGTCATGGGAGTTCTGTGTGCCAAGTTTGGTTCTATTCCATTGTTGGTGGAGTTAAGAACGCTCTTTGATTGCAGGTGAACTATAAATCCCAGCAACTACAACTCCCAAATAAAAAAAATCAATCACCCAAACCTCACCAGAATTAAAATTTGGGTGTATCAGGTATTTGTGCCGAATTTGTTCCAGTGAATGAAAATACATCCTGCACATCAGATATTCACAATACAATTCATTACAGTAGAAAGATTACAGTTATGAAACAGCAATGAAATAATTTTATGGTTGGGCTCACCACGACATGAGAAACTATATTAAGGGGCTGAGGCATTAGGAAGGTTGAGAAACACTGGTCTATATCATCTACACATGAAATGAAATCCAGTGGACTGATTTGTTTAACATATATAATATACTTCTCTTAAGCCCCAGTTGAGCAGCATGACCTTTGGAATGAACTAATCTTAGTGGGGGTAGAGGATCATAATCTTTTGTGTTGTATTGTGAGGTTTCAAATGGCTTTTTTTGTCCTCATTATTTCCCTACTCATTGTATACTGCTCTACAATAGAAATTTCTCTCTCTAATGCTTACTTTCAAACGCTAGAAAATAGTCCTGATAAAAGTGCAGACACAAGTCCTTTCTCATCTGGGATAATGACATAATGTCCTGACTCAACTGTTAGCAATACAGCCTGAAAGCCGACACAAATAATTTGGACACAGCCTGATCAAAATGGACCTATGTGTATTTTTTTGCCCTGTGAGCATAATGATGATGCTGTGCTCATCATGAAGTAGCCCAATAACTGATTTTACAGCCTGCGAGGAAGTGAAGGAAGAACAAATGTGACAACATCTTCA